CATCTCATTCACCTTTAAACAGCCTGATCAGATTACACTTCCCTCCCCTTATGAAGATTAGACTTTAACGTGAGTTTGTAGAGCGATTAAGCCATATTCAAACGTAGCAAGGATAGAAATGATGGAGATGGGTTTCAGCCTTCTCTATTGTGCCATCCAAGGACCGACTGCACGTGACATGGGAGAGACTACAGAGGAGGTTCCAGAGGCAAAATGACCAACTGTTCTGGTTTTCCTGGGGCTGGGAGCTTCCCAGAATGCAAACTTTCAGGATGGAAATGTGGGACAGGCCCAGGCTTGGTTACCTTGTGATACAGACCTAGCATGATAGGATTAGGTGAAGTGAGTATTGAAATGCATGCCTGGAGACCGCTCGAGGATCTTCACAGGAACAACAGCATGACAGGCTTCCCTAGTGTGGGAAGAGTGCTTTGAAAGCCCTGAGGACTGGGAGAGAGCAAGGGAAGGGTGACATTGTAAAAACAAAATGTACTCATTGCTGACTATTGTAACTGTAAACCCTCTGTATATCACTTTTATAATAACAATACACATGTTAAAAAGAGGGGCTGGGAAGGTGGCTCAGTGGTAGAGTGCTTGCCTCACATGCATGAGGCTGTGGGTTCGATTCCTCAGCACCACATAAGCAGAAAAAAGCCGGAAGTGGCACTGTGGCTCAAGTGACAGGGCGCTAGCCTTGAGCTGAAGAGCTGAGGAACAGCGCCCAGGCCCAGAGTTCAGCCCCTATGACCAAAAAAAAAAAAAAAAAAAAAAGTTAAAATGAAACACCAAGAACAGGGCCATTAAACTCCCGGTGGTCATCCAGTAGGCTCAGATTGGCTAAGCTTTGAGCAGGATGTGAAAGAAAAGCAATCAGAAAATGACCCAAAGCTAGGCTGAGGGAAGTCAGCTTTGGTTAGCATTGATTTCATGAGAAGCCTTTCATTCTGAGTTGTCAGACCTACCAAGCCATTAAAATCACTTTTGAATGTGTGCAACTAGATTTGTGTAACATTTATATTTGCTTATTTTAGGACCTTTCTTCCTCCTCCTCATCTTCTTCCTCCTCCTCCTCTTCTTCCTCCTTTTCTTTCTCCTCCCTCCCCTCCTCCTCCTTTTCCTCTTCCTCTTCTTTCTCTTTTTTCTCTTCCTTCTCCTTTCCTGGCTCACACTCCATGCTCCAGCCCAGAAACCAATCTAGCAATACTGTTCCATGTCTCAGACTTCAGGGAGGAATTCAGCCTGAAGAAGCCCTGTGGGTCTTCCTGTAAGGAACTAGACTCCATGAGTACATTGGAAGCTCTCAGGTACTGACAAACTACTATTTGAAACAGTACATTAGGAGATATCCACATTTGGTAAAGAACAAAACTCTTAGTTTAAAGTTCAAAGATCAGTTGAGCCTTTTTTCTTTTTCAGGTTTTTTTTTCTTTTCTTTTCTATTTTTGGCAATTTTGGGGCTTGAACCAGGGCCTGGGCACTGTCCCTGAGCTTTTTTTCCTCTCAAGGCTAAAGCTCTACCACTTTGAACCACAGCACAAGTTCCAGTTTTCTGATGGTTAATTGGAGATACAAGTCTCAGGGTCAAAGCCCAGGTTGGCTTTGAACTGCGATCCTCAGATTTCGGCCTCCTGAGTAGCTAGGATTACAAGAGTGAATCACCAGCTCACTTCTTTCAAGTTTTAATGAAGTTTTACTGCTGGGCCATTATAGCTCACGTCTATAATCCTAGCTTCTTCAGTAGGCGGAGATCTGAGAATTGCAGTTTGAAGTCAGCCTCAGGCAGGAAAATTGATGAGACGCTTCTCAAATTAACCTGAAAAAAGCCAGAAATGGGCCTGTGGCTCAAATGGTAGAGCACCCTCCTTGAATAATAAAGTTAAGGGACAGTGCCCAAACCCTGAGTTCAAACCCCAGTGTCGGACAAAAATAAATAATTTACTTATTTATTTCTGGTACTAGGGATCAAACCCATGGCCTCATGCATGTTGAACATGTGTTCAACCACCGAGCTACACCCTTAGTCCCAAATGCTTTCGTTTTGGGAGGTTTTAGATTTACGAAGCACTCAAGAAGAGAGTATAAGGAGTTTCTTTCTCTCCTGGGAGCCCTCTCTCATTTCCTGTTGGAGCGGGCTTTGCTGTGGTCTTTTTGTTCTGTTTTTATATGATTCTCCTGCCCCATTTGTTTTGTGGTGGACACATAACTCACAAGGCTGACAATGGGGAGCCTGCAGCTTTTCTATTTGTCAAAACAACTCTCATCACCGCTGTGTGCACAGACACACACAGGCCACCCAGCGTGTAAGGCGCACACCCAGGAGCCTAGAGAAAAAGAGGCCTGGGAAACAGCAGCCAGGAATTCAGAGCCTAACTGTATTAATGAATAGCTTGATTAAAAGCACATACGCATTATTTTTGCTGTAAGCCTTGTACTCTCGGCAGCGACATGGTTTAGTAAAAAGAAAGAGAGAGCACAGAACAAAACAACAAAGAAAAAGGAACAGTTCTCTCCCTCTGACCCTTGACTGCTTGCCCAAATAATTAGTGTGCTCTGGGAGCGAGGCAAGAATACTTTAAAGAAAGTAACATCCTGGGAAAATAACTCGTCTTGGCAGAGGACGTGTTTAAGGGAGAAAACTTACCTTGGGGATGGACACCTGTCTTAGTGAGATCATGTGACCCTAGCCATCCTTGGCTTCAAGAAGATGCCTAAATATCAATGACCCAAGACCAGCCTGGAAATTTCTGGGCCCAACTAACAAAATAGTATAACAGCAAGGATCTATTTTTTCCTTTTTCTTTTTCTTTCTTTTTTTTGCTAGTCCTAGGGCTTGAACTCAGGGCCTGGGCACTATCCCTGAGTTTCTTTTGCTCAAGGCTAGCACTCTACCACTTGAGCCACAGCACCACTTCACCTGGGGCTTTTCCCATTTATGTGGTACTGAGGAATTGAACCCAGGGCTTCATGCATGCTAGGCAAGCACTCTACTACTAAGCCACATTCCCAGCCAAGAAGGATATTCTTAGGAGAGCAACACAAAGACACAATGCTTAAAATAATATTTATTATATAACATGACATCAGTCTTTGGGGGGGTAAGGGGGCAGAGAAATGGAGGGACAAAGGGGGAACAAATGCAGCCGTGGTACTCACTAGATTGAAAATGAGGGCTGGGAAGGTGGCTCAGTGGTAGAGCGCTTGCCTTGCATGCATGAGGTCCTGGGTTCGATCCTCAGTACCATATAAGCAAAAAAAGAGAAAAAAGCCTCCTCAGTACCATATAAGCAAAAAAAGAGAAAAAAGCCGGAAGTGGCGCTGTGGCTCAAGTGGTAGAGCGCTAGCCTTGAGCTGAAGAGCTGAGAGACAGCGCCCAGGCCCAGAGTTCAGGCCCCACGACCGGACGCCCCCCCAAAAAAAAACAGAAAATGAGCTATCTAACTTGTGGGTGTAGATGGAGTTTAGGGTGGGGGAGAAGGGGGGACTGGGAGAGAGTGAGGGAAGGGATGACAATGTACAAAAAAAATGTATTACCTGACTTATGTAACTGTGACCAGACCTCTTATATCACCTTTATAATAATGATAAAAAGTAAAAAATTTTAAAAATGATGAAATATGCCAGCTATTGGAACAAAGGGCAACATTCATCTTCAGGTGCATTTAAGCCAAACTCAACCTACCTTTTATCACCATAAATACCCATGATAGGAGAGCTCTCATTGTCCCTGTTACCAGCTATACTAGCACTCATGTCTGGGTTATGTATTATGTTTTAATAATAATCTTTTTTTTTGTCTGTTGTAGGCCTGAACTCTGGGCCTGGGTGCTGTCCCTCAGCTCTTTAGCTCAAGGTGAGCACTCTACCACTTGAGCCGCAGCACCACTTCTGGTTTTTCTGCTTATGTGGTACTGAGGAATCGAACCAGGACCTCATGCATGCAAGGCAAGGACTCTAGCACTGAGCCACCTTCCCAGCTCCTTAATAATAATCTTTATTGGTTTCTACTATGATGTGTCTTCAGATTCTTTTTTTTTTTTTTTGGTGACCACACTAAGAACTCAGTACCCATGGGGCTGGGAAGGTGGTTCAGTGGTAGAGCACTTGCCTTGCATGCTTGAGGCCCTGGGTTCGATTCCTCAGCACCACATAAGCAAAAAGAAAAAAGCCAGAAGTGGCGCTGTGGCTCAAGTGGTAGAGCGCTCGCCTTGAGCTGAAGAGCTGAGGGACAGCGCCCAGGCCCAGAGTTCAGGCCCCATGACCGACAAAAAAATAAAAAAGTAAATACCATTACTTCTTGCTTTTACAGGTTTGTGTGGATGGATATAAAGCGCAGAACACAGCCTAGCTCCGCAGGAAGTCACCACCGGAAGGAGGGAGAGAGAGGGAGACAGAAGGGAAGGAGGGAGGGAGGGGGAGGGAGGGAGGGAGGGAGAGAGGAGATACGAGATAAGAGGAGGAGAGAAGAGAGGAAAACGAAGAGGAGAGGAGGAAGCTAGAGAAGGGGAGAGAGACACGTGGTGCAGAGGGGTGTGGGTATCTTAAGGTCAAAGTGGAAAGGTCAGAGGGCAGTTGGTTTTGAAGCGGTGGGCAAAAGAGTCTGAGACCCTCGGACTTGCTACCTTGGTGATCTCAGCTTAGGGTTAGAACTGAAACCCCTCCTCCTCCCCACTCTCCCCCCCCCCCGCAGGCGATTACTCGACCACGACCACGACCTCCGACCCCCCCCCCCCCCCCCAAACCCCAAACCCCAACCAACCCCCCGGAACCTGGGCTTTCTTACCCCGCCCCCACCAGCCTTGGCTTTGGCTCCGCCCTCCTCTCCCCAGAGGTTGGAAGCCGGCGCCGACCCGACGCGGTTGCCTAGCGACACGCTATTCCCAGGATGCCTAGGGTGCTGTGTTCTTTTCTTAGCCAATCAGAAAAGCGTGTCGGCCTCACCCTCGGCCAATAGATGGCGAGGCCGGGGCCCGCGACGGTTAAACTGGGCCCGGGCCGGGGTTCGGGACGGTGCGGCTTGCTAGTGACCTCAGGAAGCCGGCGGCGGGAAGCCATGCCGTCGCGGGTGGAGGACTATGAAGTGCTCTACACCATCGGCACCGGTTCCTACGGCCGCTGCCAGAAGATCCGGAGGAAGAGCGACGGCAAGGTGGGCGCGGGCTCTGGCCCAGTCCCCGCCCCTGCGCCCCCCGGGGTGGGGGTGGGGGGGCTCAGCGGCCCGGAAGTCTCCGCCTAGCCCCTGCATCTGCGTCCCGCAGCCTGGGCGGAGACTGGGTCGTGTCCTCCGATACAGATATTGATGAGTTCTTTTCATATTTTCTCGTTCCTGCTTTGACTTCCTTAGTATCTTCCAATGATGGCCGACAGCTCAGAGAGGACCAGGGGCAGGCCACCATATCCTCAAGCTTTGCATCTGCAATCACAATCCACACAAATCTCTTATTAGTTTGAAATTGGATTCCCAGTGAGTATAGATCTTGTTCAGAAAGCAACATTGGAGAGGTAGCTGCCTAGCCGCGGCTGGATCTTTACTAAGGTTCTCGGAAGGCACTACCGGTTTGGAATAGACAGCTAGGGGACTTTGACCTCCTCAGTTCTAGCTTTGACCAAAATACTGCCTATTTCCCATTAAGAATTGAGAATAGTGATTTGGAGAACCTTAATATATCATGCACCTCTCTGCCCAGAACATTTACTGCTTAAAGATTAGAGAAAGATTAAGGCAAGTAAAGTCAGGATTTACAGTTTATTGAACTGAATTACATGATCATGACTTTGGATTTGGAGGATTTGTTTAAAAGGGAGGTCATTTGTGCAATTTTGGACCATCTATCTATTTCAGTTTTTGTTTCTGAGCATAGTAAGTTCTCATAACTTGGAAAATTTCTTCTTTTCAGATACTAGTCTGGAAAGAGCTTGATTATGGCTCCATGACAGAAGCCGAGAAACAGATGCTTGTTTCTGAAGTGAATTTGCTTCGTGAACTGAAACATCCAAACATTGTTCGTTACTATGATCGAATTATTGACCGAACCAACACAACCCTGTACATTGTAATGGAATATTGTGAAGGAGGGGACCTGGCAAGTGTGATTACTAAAGGAACCAAGGAAAGGTAAATGCAGTCTTTTAAATGTAGGCTGAAAATGGGTCTAATTTTGTAACTGTTAAGCATCCTGTGTTAGGATCAGGGACAAGGAATGTATTAATATGGAAATGCTCTTGGGTTTCTTTGGCTCATCCACAGAATCTTAGAAAATGGCTGGTAAACTGGAAGCTATATTTTATACAAAGATATTTATTTGCTGGGCACCTGTGACACCTGTAATCCTAGCCACTTAGGAGGCTGAGATATGAGGATATATGTTTGAAGCCATCCTGGGTAGACAAACCTGAAAGATTCTTTTAGTTAACCAGCAAAAACTTAGAATGGAGATGTGGGCAAGTGGTAGAGTACCATCCTTGAGCAAAATGTTAAAGCTGGGCACTGATGACTCATGCCTGTTATCCTAGCTACTCGGGAGCTTGAGATTTGAGGATCATAGTTTGAAGCCAGCCGAGGCAGAGAAGTCTGTGAGATTCCTATTTCCAATTAACCACCAAAACAGCTGGAAATGGAGCTGTGGCTCAAGTGGTAGAGTTGAGCACAAAAGCTCAGGGACAGTGCCCAATACCCTACTCTTCCCCTCTCCCCCTAATAAAGCTAAGCAAGAGCATGAGGCCCTGAGTTCTGATACAAAAATGCCTGTAATCCTAGCTAATCTGGAGGCTGAGATCTGAGGATTATAGTTTGAAGCCAGTCTGAGCAGGAAAGCCAGAAATGGAGCTATGGCTTAAGTAGATAGAGGACTAGTGTTGAACACAAAAAGCTCAAGGACAATGCCCAGGCCCTAAGTTCCAGCCCCCTCAAAAAATAAAAACCCACACAAACAAAAAGGTAATTTATTTCCCTATTTGTACATTTTAAACACTTAAATAATTGACCTTGTTCATATCTGTAATGTTTTTCTATGAAGTTACATTTATATGATGGCTTTGGTTTCAGGCAGTACTTAGAGGAAGAGTTTGTTCTTCGAGTGATGACTCAGTTGACACTGGCTCTGAAGGAGTGTCATCGACGAAGTGATGGCGGCCATACCGTGCTGCATCGGGATCTGAAACCAGCCAATGTCTTCCTGGATGGCAAGCAGAATGTCAAGCTTGGAGACTTTGGGCTAGCGAGGATATTAAATCATGATACAAGTTTTGCAAAAACGTTTGTCGGCACGCCTTACTACATGTCTCCTGTAAGTACTCCAGGATTGACGTGCTTTTTAATATCCTAATGCTAAGTGTTTAAATGCAAGGGATTTAGGTAACTGTAGCAGCCCAGAATTAGTCATATAGAAACCTGGGCCTCAAGGGCAAATGCAGTGGATTACCTTCTCTATCTGGGAAGGTGCTTGGATTCTCCCCAGCCCTTCTATTTTAGATCTTGTATTTTTTATTTATTTATTTTTGGGTCCAGTCGTGGGGCCTGAA